TCTTGAACTAGTCTTTGAAATCTTCTGTTCAGCTCTTTTATCCTGTCAGTTGTCCCATTTGCTTTAACTACTCTCCATTCTAGGGCAAGTTTCAGAGTCTCCTCTAACATCCACTTTGGTCTTTTCTTCCTTTCCTGTCTTTTTAATGACCTTTTGCTTTCTTCATGGATGATGTTCTTGATGTCATCCCAAAACTGTTCTGGTTTGTGGTCATTAGTGTTCAGTGCTTCAAACCTATTCTTTAGATGGTTTCTAAATTCAGGAGGGATATATTCAAGGTCATATTTTGGCACCCATGGAGTTGTTTTAATTGTCTTCAGTTTCAACTTCAACTTGCATATGAGAAGTTGATGATCTGTTCCACAGTCAGCTCCTGGCCTTGTTTTGGCTGAAGATATTGAGCTTTTTCATAACCTCTTGTCACAGATGTAGTAAATCTGATTTTTGTATATTCCATCTTGCGAAGTCCACATGTATAGCCACTGTTTGTGTTGTTGGAAAAAGGTATTTGCAATGAATAAGTCATTGGTCTTGCAAAATTCTATCATGCGATCTCCAGCATCATTTCTATCACCAAGACCATATTGTCCAACTACTGGTGATTCTTCTTTGTTTCCAACTTTTGCATTCCAGTCACCAGTGATAATTAACATATTTTGACTGCATGTCTGGTAGATTTCAGACTTCAGAAGTTGGTAAAAATATTCAGTTTCCTCATCTTTTGCTGTGGTGGTTGGTTGTAAATTTGAATGAAAGTAATATTAACAGGTCTTCCTTGTAGGCATATGGATATTATCCTGTCATTGACAGCACTGTACTTCAGGACAGATCTTGAAACATTCTTTGTCATGATGAATGCCATGCCATTTCTCTTCAATTTGTCATTCCTGGCATAGTAGCTCCTATGGTTGTCTGATTCAAACTGGCCAAAACCAGTCCATTTCAGCTCACTAACAGCTAGGATATTGATCTTTATGTGTTCCATCTCATTTTGACAACTTCCAATTTCCCTAGATTCATACTTCATACATTCCATGTTCTGATTATACATGCATATTTGCAGCTGTTTCTTCTTGAGTTGTGCCACATCAGCAAAAGGAGGTCCTGAAAGCTTTACCCCATCCACATCATTAAGGTCGGCTCTATTCTGAGGAGGCTGCTCTTTCCTAGTCATGTTTTGAGTGCCTTCTGACCTGAGGGGCTTATCCTCTGGCACTGTATCAGACAATGTTTTGGTGCTATTTTTCAGTAATATATCAGACAGTGTTTCACCACTATTGTTAAGATTTTTACTGGCCAATTCTTTGAGAAGTGGATGGCCTCTTCCTTCTGCTGAGTCTGTCTTAGGCTGGAAGCTCTACTGAAAACTGTCCACCATGGCTAACCCTGTTGGCACTTAAAACACAGGTGGCACAGCCTCCACCTCACAGCAACACACAGGCTACCACAGGACAACATACTGACAGACAAGTTTGTCTCCCTTAGCTGTTCCAAACTGCTCCACTTCCACTTCCTGGCCTTCCCTACCAGTTCTGGCCCTCCAAAATCTATCTGTTACCACCTCCCAGCCTTCCCTACCAGTTCCATTCCTCTAAAAAGCCATCTGCTGCTATCTCCCAGCCTTCCCTACCAGTTCCAGCCCTCCAAAAAGCTGTCTGCTGATATCATGGTAAACTTTACTACTTTTAACATACTATTCGCAGAAATGTCTTTGATTTTGTATATTTACCTTACATCTAGTATCTTGCTAAATTAATTATTAAATTATTTTGGATTTTCTATATATATGCATGTATGAATAATGGCTGTTTTGGTTCTTCCTTTTCAGTTTGTATACTTTTTACTTCATTTTCTTGCCATAGATCACTGATTAGGACTTCTAGTACAAAGATGAATCGAAGAGTTAATAGAGGACTTCTTTGTCATCTTCCCTATCTTTACCGGAAAGTTTATAATATTTCACCATCAAGAATGATGTTTGCTGTGAAATAGCTATCTTAATGAAATTAAGGAAATTCTATTGTTACTGTGCTAAGAGGGTTTTGAAAAATTATGGACAGATATTAAATTTTATCAAATGCTTTATCAGCATCTACTGAGAAGATCTTATGATTTTTCTTTTTCAACATTGGCTGCTAACCAGAAGGTCAGCAGTTCAAATCCATCAGCTGCTCTGCCAAAGGAAGATGGGGCTATCTACTTCTGTAAAAATTTACAGGCTTGGAAACCCAACAGGGTCACTATGAATTAGAATGAACTCAATGGCACTGAGCTTTTTTTTTTTTTAAATCTACTCTGTAGGACTATTGTGAGGATAAACTAAACCTATGTACTGCTGCTGAGTTGATTATGACTCACAGGTATCCTACAGGACAGAGCAGAACTGCCCCACAGTTTCCAAGGCTGAAATCTTTACAGAGCAGATTGCCCCATCTTTCTTCTGCTGAGTGGCTGGTAGGTTCGAACAGCCAACCTTTAGGTTAACAGTGGAGTGCTTAATCACTGTGCCATCAGGGTTCTCCTAACAACCAAATCTATTACCACTGAACTGATTCTGACCCACTCAAGTTGCTTAGAACAATGGCATACATTAAACACTCAATCAACATGCCTCTGGTGTAGTGCCTAAGCCATTTGACTGCTAACCAGAAGATCTGAGGTTCAAATCCACCAGCCACTCCTGAAAAGGAAGATTGGGCAATCTACTTCTGTAGTGATACTGCCCCGGAAACCCAAGGAGGGGTCACTATGAGTTGGATCCAACTCGATGGCTGTGAGTTTAATTTATTACTGTTTATTCTCCCCTTTATGGAAAAAAAAAAAAAAAAAAAATTAAACCATTATTTCTTGACTCTGCTTTTCTAAACACTATTTTCTCAGTCTCTTTCACCCAAACTTCAAGTTTTAGAACTCTGTCCTCCATTTTTCATTCAGCTCCATTTCTCTGTCTATACTCCTTTTCCACATGCCCCCATTCTAGAGTTTTCTAAATCATGTGAATATTAATGACTGTCAAGCACGGTTCTTCTTGCAATCTCACCCCTGAGCACCAGACAGGGGTGAGATGATCTTCCTATTTAAATGAAAAAATATTGAATATTATTAAATATTAATATATAAACAATATATAAATATTTAAATGAAGTATTTATATAAAAGATGATCTTCCTATTTAAATGTTTTTTTTAGTAGCTCTTATGTAATATGGCCCAAAGTAAACGTTAAAAAAAAAAAAAAAAATCCTCAACCCTTCAAGCCCTAGTTCAAGCCACCTTTATCTTATACTTGGACTACTATAGTACTAGCCTTTTTTTCTACCCTTTCACCTCTACGATCTGTTCTTCATACAGCAATTAAAGTGATCCTTGAATATTTAATTCTGACTACTTCACTTTGTTCAGAGCTCTCCATGAGCTAAAACTTCCCATCTCATTTAAGCCCTTATTAGGCATGAGTTGACATACTTTTTCTGTAATGATCCGAGTCAATATTTAAGCTTTGTGGACCAAACAGACTGTCAAAATGATAAAACTTTATATATATATAAAATATATATGTAAGTAGTAGTTAAGATTCTAAGTTGCCTTGTCCAACATAAATTATTGTATCTTGTGGAATACACATGATTTACAAAAATACATAATATTATTTTTGGTTTACAATACTTAATATCTTTCATAAAAACCAGTTGCCATCTAACATACCACACAAAAACATTGTTCTATATTCTACTTTGGTGAGTAGCAACTGGGGTCTTAAAAGCTTGCAAGCAGCCATCTAGATGCACTGAAGGGTCTCTCTTCATCCAGGGCAAAGAAGAATGAAGAAAACCAAAGACATAGGGAAACAATTAATCCAAAGGACTAGTAGATCATGTGATCCTCAGCGATGACCCAGAAGAACCAAATAGTGCCTGGCTACTAATGTCAACCTCTTAGAGGGGGATCGGTGCAGAACAATGTGGAACAAAACTCAAAATCATAAAAAAAAAAGACCAGGTTTGCTGGTCTGATAGAGCCTGATGAGACCCCTGAGACTATGGCCCCTGGTTATCCTTCAGATCTGGAATCGAACTCACTCCTGTGGCTTCTAACCCAACAATAGACAGGCATGTGGGGTGAACATTCACATCAGGTAGATACATTCCTTGGAGTGATCCATCATGGGAGAACAGAAGGGCAGTGTTTACACAGGGAGATAGTTTGGGGATTGGGAGTGCATGGGAGGGAAGACACAGGGAAGAGGTAACTCAGGGGAGGAAGTGAGAAGAGAGCTGTTACACTGTGGGGAATTGCAGTCAGTGTCATGAAACAAAATGTATATGAAATACTGTATGGAAAATGAATTTGATCTGTAAACTTTCACCCAAATCACAATAAAAATGAAACAATGAAACAAACAAACAAACCAGTTGCCATCAAGTTGACTCTGACTCATGATGACCCCGTGTATGTCAGAATAGAACAGTGTACCATAGAGTTTTCAAAGGCTGGTTTTTTAGAAGTAGATTGCTAGGCCTTTCTTCTGAGGTGCCTCTGGGTGGACTCAAACCACCCATGTTTGGTTAGCAGTCCAGTGTGTTAAATGTTTGCACCACCCTGGGACTTCAATATCTTTCACCAAAAAACATAAACCAAAAACCAAACTCACTACCATCAAGTAGATTCTGACTTACAGTGACCCTGTAAAACAGAGTTGAACTGCCCAGAGGCTTTCCAAGTCTGTAAATCTTCATGGAAGCAGACTACTTCATCTTTCTCCAGCGGAATGACCAGTGGGTTCAAATCACTGATCAATTGGTTAGAAGCCAAATACATTAATCACTATGCCACCAGAGCTCCAAATAGCTTTCCCAACACTTGATAAATATATGTTGAATAAAAAAAATATAAGTACAAGGTCCAGAATTATATAATTTTATGAAAGGATTACAGCAAGGACATTATATTCCAAGTTAAATCATTCTATAAAATGAGTGAAACGAGTAATAGCAGACTTACTTTAGATTACTGATCCTAATTTCTGCACTTTCAGTAAGCTTCTTTGTTTCTTCTTTCCACCTACTGGTTGCCTTCTGTTGAGTAACTAAGAGATGCCTCAGTTCAACAGTGGAATTTCGATTACTGTCTTCCATCTCTCTTAATTGAACTTCAAATCCATGTTCCTTTATGGAAAATTCATGTTCCATCGTACTGATCTAAAAAATAAAATGAACATAGTATTTTCTTTTATTCTAGGAACTATACTGATCAATGCAGCAGAAAGATTGGGCAATATACTTCTGTAAAGATTTACTGCCTCAGAAACCCAAAGAGGGTCACTATGAGTCAGAATCAATTCTATGGCAGTGAGTTTTTTTGTTTTGGTTATGCTGATCAATAATATATACAAAAGGAATAATTTATTATGTTATCTGAGGCACAGAAATGTTTGGATGAAAACTCTAAGAAATTAAATTTATAATTTGTCTTCATTACAAAGGAAACTTACTGTATATTATAATGCAAATTTAGTTAAACCATAATTATGATGGATTATATTTTTTACAACATTTTCTTTAGCACCTTCAAATGGCAGTAGGAAAAAAGTTTACTATCAAACATAAAATTGTTGTCTTTACTCTTTTGTTGTCAGAATCCATACAAAGTGTTAACGCTTTCAGTAATTTACTCCAGCTACTTTCGATTTATACACTAAATTATAGATGGTCATTCAAGGGGCTTTGAAAAGACAAGAAAATTATATATAAGAATTTCTTTAATACTTCCAGCCCAAATTATGTATACTTTTTACGGGGTGGGGGACAAATGATGACTTTCAGAATCTTATATGGAAATGTTTTCAGCATATTTCTTAAAAATGAACACACAAGCAAATGATCTTTGGATACTTTAGCTGGTTTCAACTGGGGTTCAGGGAGAGAATGAAGCTTTAATCACCTAAAGACCCAATATATGCAATGAATTACCTTCTCTCTATTGCATTTTGAATGAAACTACCTCTGTACTATCTTTGGGAAAACTAAGAAAATTGTTGCTCAAGTAATTATCTGTGTATTGTAGTTCAGATGAAAAATCTTGGTAGACATGGGCTATAAAGTCATCTGACATCTTATGTGTACTCTCAGGTCATCTTTGCTTTGCTACACTAAAGAAAACTGTAAAGTATACCTATCTTACAAAATTCTCAAGTAAAGTGCCTTAAAAACATCCAAAGCTGTTTTAACGTAATTCATTAAACATAGCTTAGAAACTCAACAGAAAATGAATAAGGAGTTGCCAATTCAGAAACACTACAAACTGAAGAGTGAAATCCATGGCTCATGGAGTACAAATTACAAACGTCCTGTCCTCGCCATTCCTGTTAAAAGGAACATGCTTCTTAAAACTCTTCCATTTGCTTTCTCAAATGACAAACAAGTAGAAATTTAAGACATTATGAATGCAGCCACTGGACTTATTACCTTGGATTTATTAATTTTGTGTAGTGCACTGCTGGGCAAGCTTCCTGAGGTTCCTGGATTCCTGAAGCTATTTTAATAATTTTTGAATAATTAGATTCTGCAAATTTAGATTTGGCTCTGCTTCTCTTCCTTTCCTGCCTCAATCTGTACTTCCTCTAGAGAAGTCATGTTTCTGATATTTTGGCTGAAAAATAAAAATCCCAGTCTCTGTAAGCATGTGTCTCTCTTTCTCATATACATATTAAAAACTGATTTATACATCTATATGGTTTTTGAACTTTGCCTTCCTATGAACTCCCCATTGCCACTTGGAAAAATCTGTTCATAGTCTGAGAAGACTTGCTGTAAAGCCCTTCATGATAATCTGGTCTTGCCTATTTTTTTAAGCTTATATTGTCCTACTCTTTCCCTCTCTTTTTTTCTTTCAGCCTTATTGCCTTGCCACTCTTGGGTCCTTTTCACATGTTGTTCCTTTTTCCTGGCATAATCTTTCTCCTCCTGCTTCTTTTAGTTATTTCTGTTCATTTTAGAACTCAGCTCAATTGTTGCTTCTATAGCAAAGTTTTACCTTACTTGTAACCCAAACAAAGTCAGGTCTCTCTGTTTTAAGTTTTCATAATACTCTATACTTTTTCTAAATATCACTTATTAGTTTATAATGATATATTTTTAGAGAAGCATTGGGGGTTCACTCAGCTAATTAAAAGACTGGGAGAAAGGACTTGGTGGTCTGCTCCCACAAAGATTACATCCTAAGAAACCCAATGGGGCAGTTCTACTCTGTCCTATAGCATCACTGTGAATAAGAATCAACTCAGTAGCACACAACAACAATTAGATGTCTAAGGTTTTCTCACCTGCATGTCAACTATACTTTTTAAGACTGATGACCTTATCTATTTTATTCACCACTGCATCCTTAGTACCTCATATAGTGCCTGGAACTAGTAAGACACTCAAAACACATTTTCAGACTGAATGAATACACTTTTTTTTTGGGGGGGGCGGTTCAAATTCAGACTTTAAACAAACTTTATTTCCTTCAGCTCATGCACTTCTGATTATTGAGCTAGACCAGTCTATGGCTTCTAGAAGGCTAAAAGCCATAATAGTTGGTTCTCTCCCATGACAAAAGTGGCACTAATGATGAAATTCAGAATGTTAGGAAGGAAAATGATTTATGGTCCCTTACCTTTCTTCACATTGAAGCTAAAGACAATTAAAGGAAGTCTGTGAGAGCCAAAATATGACCTTGAATATATCTCTCCTGAATTTAGAGACCATCTGAAGAATAGATTTGATGCATTGAACACCAATTACCAAAAACCAGAGAAGTGTGGGATGACATCAAGAACATCACCCATGAAGAAAGCAAAAGGTCATTAAAAAGACAAGAAAAGAAGAAAAGACCAAAATGGATGTCAGAAGAGACTCTGAAACTTGCCCTTGAATGGAGAGTAGCTAAAGCAGATGGAAGAATCGACAAGATAAAAGAGCTGAACAGAAGATTTCAAAGAGCAGTTCGATATGACAAAGTCAATTATTATAATGAAACATGCAAAGATATTGTTTGATAATTTCCATTTTCTACTGGATCACCTCTCCTTGGAAGGGGCATAAATGTGGATCTATGATAACTCATTCAAATTTCTTAGCATAAAAGACTTAAGTGCTTCCAGTTGCATTTGTTTGTTGAAATATCTCAACAGGTATTCTGTCAATTACTGGTGCCTTGTTTTTTTTGCCAATTCCTTCAGCACAGCTTGGATTTCTTTCTTCAGTACCATTGGTTCTTGATCATATGCTGCCTTCTGAAATGGCTGAACATCAACCACTTCTTTTTGGTACAGTGATTCTGTGTATTCCATTGTCTTTTGATGCTTTCTGTACTGCTCAATATTTTGGCCATGTTGTTGTTGTTGTTATGTGCCTTGCACCTGAATCATAGCGACCCCTCCTTGGGTTCCCGAGGTGGTATCACTACAGAAGTAGATTGCCCAACCTTCCTCCTGAGGAGTGGCTGGTGGGTTTGAACCACCAACCTTCTGGTTAGCAGTCAAGTGCCTTAGGCCATAGAATCCTTCAAAATTGCAACTTGAGGCTTAATTTTTTTTTTTTTTTTTTCAGCAGTTCTCTTAGCTTGAGAAATGTTGAGTGTGTTCCTTCCTTTTGGTTTTCTAACTCCAGGTCTCTGCACATTTCATTATAATACTTTACTTTGTCTTCTTGAGTCACCCTTTGAAATGTTATGTTCAGCTCTTTTACTTCATTTCTTCCTTTTGCTTTAGTTACTCTACATTCAAGAGCAAGTATCAGAGTCTCTTCTGACATCCATCTTGATATTTTCTATCTTTCCTGTATTTTTAATCACCTTTGCTTCCTTCATGTATGATGTCCTTGATTTCATTTCACAACTCATGTGGTCTTCAGTCATTAGTGTTCAAAACATCCAATCTGTTTTCGAGATGGTCTCTAAATTTAGGCAGGATATACTCAGGGTTGTACTATGGCTACTATGGACTTGTTTTAATTTTCTTCAGCTTCACCTTGAATTTGCAATGAGCAACTGATGGTCCACAGTGGGACCCTTGGTTTGTTCTGTCTGATGATATTGAGCTTCTCCATCATCTCTTTCCACAAATGGATTTGATTTGATCCCTGTATAGTCCATCTGGTGAGGTCTATGTGTATAATCACCATTAATGTTGTTGAAAAAAGGTGTTTACAATGAATAAGTTGTTGGTCTTGCAAAATTCTGTCACCAAGGCCATATTTTCCCACTACCGGTCCTTGTTCATTTCCAACTTTTGCATTCCAATCACCTGTAATTACTGATGTATCTTGATTGCATGCTTGGTCATTTCACAAAAGGTAGCAAAAATCTTAAATTTCTTCCTCAGTGGCATTAGTGGTTGATGCATAAATTTCAATAATATTTGTATTAATTCATTTTCTTTGTAGGTATATGGATAATATTCTATCACTGACAGTGCTGTACTTCAGGATAGATCTTGAAATGGTTTTTTTTTTGGACCATCAATGTGATGTTATTCCTCTTCAACTGGTCATTCCTTGCATAGTAGATTAAAAATGGCCAAAAGCAGTCCATCTCAGCTCACTAATGCCTAGGATATCAATCTTCTTTCATTCCATTTCATTTTGGATAACTTCCAATTTTTCTTGATTCTTATTTCATATATTCCATATTTTGATTATTAATAGATGTTTACAGCTGTTTCTTCTGATTTTGAGTTGTGTCCCATCAGCAAATGAAGATCCCAAAACCTTAACTCCATCTACATCATTATGGTTGACTTTGAGGAAGTACTTCTTTCCCAGTCATTATTTGGATGTCTTCCAACTTGAGGGGCTCATTTTCCAGCACTATATCAAACAGTGTTCCACTACTAGTCTTAAAGGTTTTAATGGTCAATTTTTTTTAGCAGTACATCACTGGTCCTTCTTCCTAGTTTGTCATAGTCTATAAGCTCTTCTGAAACCAGTCTACCATGGGTGTCCCTGCTAGTATTTGAAATACTGGTTGTATAGCTTCCAGTATCACATCAACAAGCAAGCCACCAATGTATGACAAACTGACAGACAAGTGGTAGAGAGAGAATGGAGTGGCTTGAAAACTTGGTAAAATGAATTGCTCTCAGCAAAATAACCTCCCAGTCTCTGTCTTGATCATTTTAGCTCCTTTCAGTTCATCTACTTAAGATCTACTAACAGATCTATCCTGGAGAAGTGCAGCCAGAATGCTCCTTGGAAGCAAGAATGGCCAGACTTCGTCTCACCTATTTTGGTCATGTTGTAAGAAGGGACCATTCCCTGGAGAAGGATGTCATGCTTGGTAGAGTGGAGGGTCGACGAAAGAGGGGGAGGCCTTCAACGAGATGGATTGACACGGTGGCTGCGATGATGGGCTCAAGTATAGCAGGGATTGTGGGGCTGGCGCGGGATCGGGCAGTGTTTCATTCTGCTGTGCGTGGGGTCGCTATGAGTCGGAAACGACTCGACGGCACTTAACAACAACAACAACTTAAGATCCACTCTTTTTCAAGGAAAAGTAAAGAAGCAAAGAGTGTGGCATGAGGTTATACAGAATCAGGTAGAAAACAGCAGTTTCTGATAACCTCTTCCCTCCATAAAATAGAAGTACAGCTAGTTAGTTAAGAGGTTGGCTTCTTATTTACCAATGATTCTTCTCTTAAGCCAGATGCAGATTTTTCAAAAAGTTGAAAGAGGATTTGAACCTTTCTGCCATCCTTTTGTCCTCTGAAATATTAGTTACTAACCTTTTGAACTGTTAAAGATGGATCAAATGTGGTATCAGGTAGAGAGAATTAATTTTTTTCTCTTTGATTATAAAAAGCATAAAACAAAAATTGTGAAATTAGGAAAAACATAAATAATTAGATGTACAAATATAAAATCCTAGTACTTCACGCACAGAGGTAACTGCTTTTAATCTCAACATAATTGTTTTTATTTACAAATTTTTAAATTGAGATTACATCATATACAAGATTACAATATGTGTATGTGTGTACAACATGTGTATGTGTGTATTTTTTACTTTGTTGTTGTCATTAGTTGTCATCGAGTCAATGCCAACTAATGGCACCCCATGTGTATAGCTTATCCAGCTTCCACAACCATCAAACTTGTGGTCAGTCTTGTTTCATCTACATTCCTATCCATTCTCCCCTGTCAAGATCTTTCTTCTTACAATAATATGCATAATTGTTATGGGCATAACTTACATACATACCAATGTACAAAATTTACTACCCAGATTTAGATACCGCAAGAGGCCCTTTCATGTGCCCTTCCACTTAGTACTCATCTATCCAGAAGATAACCTACTCTGACTTCATTCTTAGAAGTTATGCCTATTCTTTACTTTCATGTAATGAAAAAATAAACTGAAATTTGTTATATCTGTTGGCAAAAATACGTCTTTGCTTAATATTATATTTGTGAGATTCATCTGCTATTGCTTATAAACATAATTAATTTTTTTATTATCATATGTATTCCATCATGTGACTATGTCAAAATTTATCCAGTTTTTGATATTACGATTAAAGCTTCTATAAATATTCTGGTACAGATGTTTTGGTGAACATAGGCATTCATATGTGCTGGATATATATCAGGATTATTTGGTATGGTATACATGTATGCCTAGCTTTAAAAGATACTGTCAAAACAGTAATAGGAAGATTCTAGTTGCTCTATATCCTTGTCAACACTTGATATTGCTAGGATTTTTACTTTTAGCCATTCTAGGAATTTGCAGTGATCTCTCATAATACTTTTAATTTACATTTCCCAAATAACTAATGAAGTCGAACAGATTTTCATGTATGTTCTTTTATAAAGTGCTTATATAAGTCTTCTTCCTATTTTTAGAAATGGGTTGTCTACTTTTTTCTTATTGTTAGTTCTTTATATTCTGGATATGAGTCTATTTTTTTAGTTGTATGTATTACAAATATTTTCTCCCATTTTTCATCTCCTAATGATGTTCTTTTGATGACTAAAAATATTAATTTAAAGGAAATCCAATTCATCAATCTTTTCTTTATGATTAGTACTTTTCGTATTGTTTAAGAAGTTTTTTCCCTCTTCAAAGTGAAGAATATTTTCTCTAGGGAGCATCAGTCTTTAAGTTACAAATTTAGATCAATAAGCCGGTTCAAATTACATATATGATATGAAGTGGGGGTTAAGTTTCATTTTTTAAATAGGAATCCAATTGATCGAGTATGATTTATTGAAAAGATAATTTTTCCATCCCTCGAACTTCAATGGTTTCTTTGTTGTAAATCAGGTAATAATGTATAGAAGCATTTGTTTCTGGATGGATCCTATTTTCTTCCATTAATCGGGTTGACTATTCTTATGCTGCTAACACACTGTCTTAATTACTGCAGCTTTACAGCAAAATTCTCCCCCTTTATTCTTTCAAAGACTTCTCATACCCCTAAGGCATAAAGTATAAACTTCTTTGTATGGTATGGGAAGGTTGGGCAATCTACTTCCGTAGTGATACTGCTTCAGAAACCCAAGGAGGGGTAGCTATAAGTCGGATCCAACTTGATGGCAGGGAGTTTGGTTTTGCTTTTTGATGGTATGAGGCTCTCTTGTTCATACCTCAAGCTTTTATAAATAACAATAGTGTTTGATACTTGCAACAGGAAGCATTAAAGAAAGAGCTTTTGATATGAATTAGGTTGAAATGTAACTTCATTAGAGGTTTAAATCTTCTTATGATACCTCTTAATAACAAAAATCAAAACAGTGATACCTTACTATGAAATTGGAAGGTGCAGATCTTTATTATCAAGAGTTAGTACTACGTTTTATAAAACTCATGGAATGGGGAAAATTAAGCAAGATATTGATGGTGATTTCCCTGCTTCTTTAAATGCCATTAAGTAAGTTATCATGTTCCTTTGGCAAAGCATGTAAGCATCAGAACAAAGAAGATGGAAAAGGGAGAGAAAATAAAGGGGAATTTTTAAAAGATGAGCCTTGTGTCCTTTGTCTTCTTAGCATGCAGTTCTCAGACTAGCTATGAGGGGTTCTCACAGCATACTGATGTACATTCCCTATACTGCTAGTTTTAGAGACACTCAAATTTTGAGAAGCTATTACAGAAGGAGAAGAGAGGATGGCAGTCTGTAAAGTTATCTAATCTATAGTTTTGCTAGTGCTGCTTAAATTGCTTTGGCAGGAATATCATTGTATTTCATAGCTGAAAAAGATTTTTTATTTTTTGTGGACAGAGAAAGCAATCATTTTCAAGTATACTTGCCAAGATCTGCAATACAGAAATGACTGGTTAACACTCTGAATTATGATATAGTACTACTACATGTGACGAGAAGGCAAAAAATAAAAGTAAAAAAAAAAAGACCTTAAAAAATGTTTCACCAAGTCTTTCTAAATATTCTCTATACTTCAATTTTCACAAGCACACATTTAACTCTACTCTTGAAAATACCTTCAATTTGGCTTTCTTTTGGGCCTCCAGTGCAAGCTTTCGCAAATCCTCTGCCTCTTTCTGTAGCTGTTCATTTTCTTGCTGAAGTTTCAGCCTTTGTTCACTGACAAATCCACAGTTCTTTCTCTCGGACTCCAACACGTTTTGAAGTTTCTGAATCATTTCTTGGCAACGTGATATGTCTTCTGAGGAACTGATTAAAAACAAAACAGAAAGAACCCTTAAATTTAGTGGCCTATAATAAATGTCAAGATGTCCACATTTTATAGTACAGACCTTTCTTTCTTTTTCTTTTAAGCCATGTCTCTTCAATTTAGACATAAATTGTGTGCTTTCAAAATGGTATGTTTTGCCATGCAAATAAACTCAATCTAACAATTGTGAATAAAAACAGATAAGTTGAATTACTTAATACTTACCTAAAAAAATCAGTGTGAAACTTTCACTTATTAAGATTGAGAATTGCTGTGTAAGGAGAATTTCAAGGGGTCAAACTGAAACTAAAAGTAAAGACCAAGTAGGTAAATCAAAACTCCTTTAGGAAAACACAATAGTTGACTATGTTACTAAATTATAATGATAGGATCTACTTCCTTATTTTCCTGTTACATGCCTTAGAAATGGATTTTATAAACTTCTAGTTGTCTTATCATAAATCAAACAAGTTATAACTTTCTGAACAATGGCTTATTCGGTGAGACAACCTCTAAACATGTATGTTGCTTCAATATACTGCTAATTTTATCCCTAACTTTAAAAATTTCCACATTTTCAATCTCAGATAATTAATCACTGTGAATATAACTATTTTTTGGTCAGTAAGTGTTCTGGTTACTTAGTGCTGGTCTGACAGGAATATACCACAAATGGGAAGGCCTTAACAAACAGGAGTTTATTCTCTCACAGTTTGGAGGCTTTAAGTCCAAGTTCAAAGTGCCAAGCTCTAGGGGCTGGGTGAAAATCCCTCAACCTTGGGGTCCAGCTCTGCCTCCTGCTCCCAGCCCAATGAAGTTACAGGCATTTCTTCACTCAGACAGCTGCTGGCTACTGAGGTTGAGAAGCCCCAAGGTTGACAAGTAAAAAGGCACAGTCCCAATGTTACCAAACCACACGGCAGGCCATTAATTTAAGTCCATTGTAATTCCCAAGGTCGGCAGAGCATGGCAGGCTGCTGAACAACAACACGGCTACATGCAGGGTCCAAGCGTGCCATAGGCTAGAGACCGTTCCCAAGGCTTCTCCTTATGTACAGGAAGCAGACTACATCCCAAAGGCAGCTACTCAGCTGCTTGTGGTAGATCTCACCATGGAGCTGATTGCCAATCTCATCATGGGGAATAACTACCACCAGCTGCCCAGCCACTCAACCAGGCCCAGCCAAGTTGACACACAAACATAACTACCATAGTTAGTATCACCGGGAATATGTTTTCTGGTCAAAGGTATCACAAAGAACACATAAATGATACAAATAATATGATGGTTTAAGAAAACTACTGGTTGAATATGTCTTGAAAGCAGGGAAATTCTTAAATAACTTCCACATGGTGGCAGTTATTACCATTATGAGCCATTCCTTTATGGTCCTACTTGAGCAACATATTGCGCCTGTCTTCTTGAATTTTCCTGCAACCTCCGACTTGTCCATATTTACCAGTGCTTCCATGGTTAGTGACTGCTTCTGTGATCCTCTCCCTCTGACCTCTTAGCTCCTTCCACATTCTTGTTCATCCTCATTAGTATATTAAATCCTTTGTTTCTATATTGCACCTGTTTTTCTGTCTAAATATTGACTGATAAAGTTCTTAATGAAATCATGGATATATGCAATGATCATCAAAGGATGCAAAAATAAAAAAGGAGAAACAACACACATTATGTGCCTCCTAACAGAAGTCCAAACATTCCTGTCTATAAAGAATTCTTTAAAATAAGTGGGAGCTAGATCAGTAAAGCCTCTCAATCTAATTACTAGTTTTTAAGAACTACAGGGGACAGAGAAACAAGTTAAATGATATCATAGTAGTTCTTAAGGCATCTGACTGCTAACCAGAAGGCTGTCAGTTCAAACCCACCAGCCACTCCTCAGAAGGAAGACTGGGCAATCTACTTCTGTATAGATACCACCTTGGAAACCCAAGGAGGGGTCGCTATGCATCAAATTGACTCAATGGCAGTGAGTGTTTTTTTGTTTTATATAT